TTTTATTTGAAGACCGTAAGTTCCTCCGTGGGACATACCAGGAGAGGCGGTCCCGTAGGTACGAGGGTCCTAGGCCGTATAGGGCTTTAAAGGTTAAAACCAGCACCTTAAACCTGATCCTGTACTCTACCAGGAGCCAGTGCAGCTGGTATAGCACCGGGTGAAAGTGATCTTGCAGCGAAGACCTCGTAAGGAGTCTCGCTGCAGCATTCTACACCCGCTGGAGTTTCTGGGTCAGTCTCAAGGGCAGCCCCACGTAGAGCAAGTTACAATAATCCAGTCTGGAGGTGACCGTCGCGTGGATCACAGTGGCTAGGTCAGGGCGAGAGAGGTAAGGAGCCAACTGCTTAGCTTGGCGGAGATGGAAAAATGCCGCCTTTGTTATAGCTGCAATCTGCGCCTCCATGGAAAGGGAGGTGTCGAAGATTACACCCAAACTCTTAACGGACGGTGCTGGCACTAATTGCGCCCCCGCAAGAGATGGGAGTTGCCCCCCCACTAAAATTAACCATCCTTTTTATGATTCTTCCTTACGGTTCTGTGAGAATGAGCATTCTGAACAAAATTTATATAGTGGTACCTCAGGTTAAGTACTTAATTTGTTCCAGAGGTCCGTACTTAACCTGAAACTGTTCTTAACCTGAAGCACCACTTTAGCTAATGGGACCTCCTGCTGCTGCCGCACCGACGGAGCACGATTTCTGTTCTCATCCTGAAGCAAAGTTCTTAACCTGAAACACTATTTCTGGGTTAGCGGAGTCTGTAACCTGAAGTGTATGTAACCTGAAGCGTATGTAACCTGAGGTACCACTGTACTGGTGGAAATACATTTGAATTCATGACTTTTCTGCTGACTGGATTTTGAAGGTTGAAAAAAAAAATTCACTTGACATTTCTGTGAAAATGTAGCAATGATAACGTCTGGAACATACACATATGTCTTGCAATACTTTCATTTTGACTTCTGTTTTTTTCTCTCCCTGCCATAGAAACATAGATAAATATTTTTGCCATTGTTTAAGTGGTAAGTTATTAGTCAAAATAGGCATAATTTAAAATAAAGACATAATTCTAGGCAATACGTACATTCATCTTTGTCACTGAAATTCTACCCAGCATTGACAATTTTAGCACCTCCCATCTTGACATATATTTTTAAATTTCAGCTCATGTCTTAACATAATTATTTTGGAGCAACATACAATTCACATTTGCCACAATAATATCCAAATATTTTACTTTTTCCAAATTGAAACCCTGTTTCAAAACCTTCTCATCTTCTGTTGTCATATTCTCTGTTAACATTTTTGCTTTTTGGTTACTAACCTTAGACCCTGCTAACATACCAACATTATTTAGTTTCTCCATAAGAATCCCCACTCCCTGCAGTGGGTTTTCTAGAATTAACATCTGGTCATCAGTAAATGCCCTTAACTTAAACATTTCTTTTTAAATCTTTATTCCCGCAATTCTCTCATATTGTCTAATGTATCTAAGTAAAACTTCCAAGACTCGAATAAAAAGTAGCGGGGACAATTAGGTATATGTGTAATTGGCTTCTTTCCAGACATCTGCTATTTTACCACTGTAGAATATTATTCATTGTCTGTTGCAAGGGTTGTAAAAGTTATTCAAAAAGTCTTCAAAAGACTTATAGTAAGAAGCCAATAGTCCATCTGGGCCTGGTACTTTTCCTTTCTTTTGTTTTTTTATAGCACCACATAAATCTTGAGTAGTTATAGGGCCAATCATTATTTGTCTTTGAAAGTCTGAAATCTTTGGTAGATGTTGTCTATTTTTCTATATATTTTTTGAATATATTACTTGATCTTTATACAACTTAGAATAATATTGGTGAAATACTTTTTCATATTTGTCTTACCTGTTATTACAGCATTTTCTTCTTGCAACTTCAATATCAACTTCCTTTCTTTCTCCTTCTGCAGTTTATATGCTAACCATTTCCCAGGTTTGTGAGCAATTTTTTTAAATTTAAATTTGTTTAGCATAATCCAGTTTTGTTCCTATCTCCTGCACTGTTAACATAGACAATTGTCTCTGCAACATCTTAATTTGCCAAACGGTTGGAGATTGTTCCAATTATTTTTCTTTTTGCTTAATCTCAGACAAGATTTTTTTCCAGTAGCACCTTAGAGACCAACTAAGTTTGTTATTGGTATGAGAAGTATCTGAAGTATCTGAAGAAGTGTGCTTGCACATGAAAGCTCATACTGGAAGGAATTTTTTTATTTTGTTTCGACTATGGCAGACCAGCACTACCTGTAACTAGAACAAGATTTTTTGTAATTTCGCCTGTCTCTTTCTTTTAAGTAAGGAATTATGTGATATTAAAGAACCTCTGTGGAAAGCTTTGTTGCATCTCAAACCATATGTATCTCTGTGCCTTTAAATTGTTATCAAATAATTATTTCGTAATTTTTGCAATATTCTTTTGCAATCTTTGTTTGCAATCTTGTGCAAACCTTTTCTTGTTGCCATAACTCTTTCTTAAGTCTCCAAATGAAAAAGTCATTCTTCCTTTCGTAAGTCATAATAACTGGATTATGGTCTGAAAAAGTCTTTGGAATGGCAGAGGCTTGAGTAGAAGAAGCCAGGATGGAGAATAATTGACAGGAAAATTGTGAATTTAAACAATAGTAAAAGTTTGAGATTTATTTATTTATTTATACCTCATCCTTTTCCCTGATGGGACTCAAGGGGGTTTACAGATAAAAACAAGAACTGCTAAAAACATAGAAAAACCGATAATTAAAATACAATTGAACATTGATAGAATTAATACTAGATACATATATAAAATCTGTTTAAAACTTACCAATAATTACCATGAAAACAGCATGGCACTGGCTCTTTAATTAAAGGCATTCGATTCTCCAAAGCATATTGGAACAAAGAAAGTCTTCACCTGCAGGCAGAAGGCAGCTAGGAGGGAGCCAGTTTGGCTTCTCTAGGAAGGCAGTTCCAAAGTCTGGCAGCAGCCACCAAAAAGGCCCTCCCTCTCCTGTGTCCCCACCAAGTGTGCCTGTGAGGGTGACAGGACTGAGAGAAGGGCCTCCCCTGAAGATCTCAAAACCTAGGCAGCTTCATATGAGGGAATATGATCTTTCAGATAGCTTGGACCTACGTTTGTGTGTTGGGGAAACTTAGGAAAAAATGGTGATTTAAAACAAGGTTTTAATATAGCAAGTGGGGAGTTGGGAAAGGTTCTTTTGTAGAGTCGTACCTTGGATCCCAAATGCCTTGGTACTTGGACGTTTTGGCTCCCGAACGCCGCAAACCCAAAAGTGACTGTTCCGGTTTGCAAACTATTTTTGGAAGCTGAACATCCGACGGGGCTTCCGATTGGCTGCAGGAAGCTTCCTGCAGCCAATCAGAAGCCGCGCTTTGGTTTCCAAATGTTTTGGAAGTCGAACGGACTTCCTGAACGGATTCCGTTTGACTTCCAAGGTACGACTGTATTAGCTTTTTGGTGTTAGCTTCTGCGCTGTACCTATCCAAAGGCGGATCTAGGGGAGTGCAACTGGTTCACTTGCAACCGATTCAATGACACCCAACAGAAGGCAAGAGGTGGTGGTGGGGTGCTGGATTTTGCCGTCGCACAGGGTGCCACTGAAATTTGAGACACCAAGGTCTGCTGTCGCCAACCCACCTCTGCTAATTCTCCTTGTTAAAACTTTCAAGTCAGCACAACAATCCTCCTTTCCAACTCTATTGAGATCTCTCCCATCTTGTTCCACTCTCAGGGTCCTTCCCTTCTATGGCACTGTGGTTGTGCAACCTGCCTTCTCTTTTGTCCCCCTACCTCATCCATAGTGGAATCCAGGATTGTGATGTGCCTCTACAAATCAATGGGGGCTGCATGATGACGGATAAATAGCTGTATCTGTAGCGTGCGTGTGGGCATGCGTACGTATGTGTGAGTTAACGTTTGACACAGTTGAAATGATTGAGCCAAGTTATCATTCCATAATAGGCTGTCAAAACTGAAAGGTCACTGTTCCTTTAGATTTCTGTAAAACAGACGGCCCTGTTCTGTTGAATAGCATCCCTGCTGCGATAATACAGGTGCCCCACTATCTCTAGAAACAACTGAAGACATTTTTCTTCCCACAGTCAGTCCTAACTGGAAACTGTGTCCATTCATTTCTCTCTCAGGACGTTGTTGTTGTTGTTTAGTCATTTAGCCATGTCCGACTCTTCGTGACCCCATGGACCAGAGCACGCCAGGCACTCCTGTCTTCCACTGCCTCCCGCAGTTTGGTCAAACTCATGCTGGTAGCTTCGAGAACACTGTCCAACCATCTCATCCTCTGTCGTCCCCTTCTCCTTGTGCCCTCCATCTTTCCCAACATCAGGGTCTTTTCCAGGGAGTCTTCTCTTCTCATGAGGTGGCCAAAGTATTGGAGCCTCAGTTCAGGATCTGTCCTTCCAGTGAGCACTCAGGGTTGATTTCCTTAAGAATGGGTAGGTTTGTTCTTCTTGCAGTCCATGGGACTCTCAAGAGTCTCCTCCAGCACCATAATTCAAAAGCATCAATTCTTCGGCCATCAGCCTTCTTTATGGTCCAGCTCTCACTTCCCTACATCACTACTGGGAACACCATAGCTTGAACTATATGGACCTTTGTTGGCAAGGTGATGTCTCTGCTTTTTAAGATGCTGTCTCAGGACAGGCTGAGCTTAAAGAAAGAGATTTTTTTGGTGTTCTATACCAAAGAGAGCTTATTAGGAAGCGGAGGAAAACTGCGTCTACTTTTTTTGCTCCCCCACGAAGTGTGTATGTACACACACACACACACACACACACACACACACTCTTCATATAAACCACTTCTCGCTTTCAGCCTTTTGTTTTTCCCTCCCTGCTGAGGAGATAGCCTAGTGTAGTGGAGGTAAAACACTTGGGCAGCCATTCGGGCCAGCGGCTTTCAGGGGTTAAGAGTGAAGCCCCTTTAGGTTCCCTAAGGAAACCCCTCGCATGCCCAACCGCCTGCCCTCAGCGCGCCCCAATGGCCTAATGCGGCCTCCTTTTTTGGCGCGGGCGCGGGATGGGGGGGTGGGGGCTGTGTGTCTCTCTCTTTCGTCTCACACTCCCCCCCCCTCCCACTCCCCTCCGCAGGCGGAGGCAGGTCCAGGCTCCGGCCAATGAGGGCGGGCGAGCCCGGGAAGGGGGCGGCGCTTCTGAGCCGGTATATGGATGCGCACGTTGCCCGTCTCTGACACCCGCTCGCCCTTTCGGCCAGGTAACGGCATCTCTTGAGGGGAGACCATGATGGCAGCGGAGGCAGCGCAGGCGGGCGGCTTTCTGGGCCGAGCCCTCTCGTCCACCGAGCCCGCTCCGGCCCTCGAGATCGGCGGCGGCTGCGGGGCCGTGGCCGAGGCGCGGGTGCTGGTGATCAACACGGGAGGGACCATCGGGATGGTGCCTCAGCCGGAGGGTGAGCGAGTGAACTTGCTGGGCAGCATGGAGGGTTGGGTCTGTGCGTGTCTCCTGTGGGAATAAACACCCCGCGCAACCGTCAGGCAGAGGTCCCGGCAGGTGGGAATTCGGCAGGTGAAGCTTTCCCCATCACCTGTTGAACTTCAGCCTGATAGTTTCCAGAGGGGTTGACCCAGTCGCCTGTTGCATCAAAAGCGACAGAGTTTTATAGTACCTCAAAGAGCAATGCTCACCTCACCCACTTTAAAAGGTAAAGGGACCCCTGACCATTAGGTCCAGTCGTGATCGACTCTGGGGTTGCGGCGCTCATCTTGCTTTATTGGCCAAAGGAAGCCGGTGTACAGCTTCCGGGTCATGTGGCCAGCATAACTGAACTGGTGAACCAGAGCAGCGCACAGAAATGCTGTTTACCTTCCCACTGGAGCGGTACCTATTTATCTACTTGCACCTTGACGTGCTTGCAAACTGCTAGGTCGGCAGGAGCAGGGACCAAACAACGGGAGCTCACCCCGTCGCAGGGATTCGAACCGCCGATCTTCTGATCGGCAAGCCCTAGGCTCTGTGGTTTAACCCACAGCGCCACCTGTGTCCCTCACCCACTTTACCTGGGAGTACTAGGGACGGGGGTGGCGCTGTGGGTAAAACCGCAGTGCCTGGGACTTGCTGATCACATGGTCGGCGGTTCGAATCCCCGCGGCGGGGTGCGCTCCCGTCGTTCGGTCCCAGCGCCTGCCAACCTAGCAGTTCGAAAGCACCTCTGGGTGCAAGTAGATAAATAGGGACCGCTTACCAGCGGGAAGGTAAATGGCGTTCCGTGTGCTGCGCTGGCTCGCCAGATGCAGCTTGTCACGCTGGCCACGTGACCCGGAAGTGTCTGCGGACAGCGCTGGCTCCCGGCCTATAGAGTGAGATGAGCGCACAACCCTAGAGTCTGGCAAGACTGGCCCGTACGGGCAGGGGTACCTTTACCTTTAAATAATTTTCTATAGCTCAGCTGGTGGAGCATGAGACTCTTAATCTCGGGGTGGTGGGTTCGAGTACCCCATTGGGCAAAAAAAAAAAGGGCATTGCAAGGGGTTGGATTAGATGGCCCTTGTGGTCCCTTCCAACCCTACAATTCTGTGATTCTAACATTACAAACCAAACTTGTTCATGAGTAGGATTTGCTCTTAGCCTGGCTTTGGGGGGATGGCAGAACACTCCACCTGATGTTATGTGCAGAATTGCAGGTAGTACATGGGAGGTGGGGATTGTGAACACGCAGCTGGCTAGAGGAAGCCCTATGTGCGGGGTTTCTCTTCTAGCTCAGGGTATTGGGCTACTTACTCCTTCCTCCAAACAAGTATTTGGACTTGTAGAATGGCTCAGAGTGTTCTTTTGTTTCAGTGACTACATGCAGAAGAGAACAAGGCTCACATGGGCATAGCCAGGATTTTTGTTAGGGCTGGGGGCAGAACCTCAGTTAGCTATATATTTTTATTGATTTTTATTAATTTGAGGGGCAGCTGCCCCTCCCTACCCCTCTGGCTATGCCCATGAAGGCTCATGTACTGTTTAGTAATTAGGTGATGTGCGGTTTGTGCATTCAAAGTTGCGGAAATTCCAGCTCTTAAATGGTAGAGCCAGGGGTAGGCAATGTGGTGCCTTCTATATTTTGCTGGATTTCATTACTCACAATCCTTAACTACTGACCAAGCTAAACTGACAGAGGTTGATGGGAGCTGGAGTCCAGCAACATCGGGAGATGGCCATGTTTGCAACCCCTGGGCTAAAGAGACAATTTATATAACAGAATTTGTAGACCTCTTGTTGTTGTTTAGTCGTTTAGTCGTGTCCGACTCTTCGTGACCCCATGGACCAGAGCACGCCAGGCACCTCTGTCCTCCACTACCTCCCGCAGTTTGGTCAAACTCATGCTGGTAACCTCGAAAACACTATCCAATCATCTCATCCTCTGTCGCCCCCTTCTCCTTGTGCCCTGCATCTTTCCCAGCATCAGTGTCTTCTCCAGGGAGTCTTATCTTCTCATGAGGTGGCCAAAGTACTGGAGCCTCAGCTTCACGAGTAGACCTCTTAATGACCTTTTATCCAAGAACGACATGCTCAAAAGTCACAAAGCATCACTCAGTGCTATTTTTCTAGAAAAAGAGGTGCCGGAACTCACCATGAATACCTCCCTCGTTCTCTTAGAATGGCAGTGGTGCCCACCTGAGAGGTGCCGGAACTAAGTCCCGATGAGTTCCAGCTGAAAAAAGCCCAGGCATCTCTGTTTCACATCCTGCTGAACTTGCAACCCCAGCAGTTCAAGCGAGGATAAGGAAATTCAGGTGGAGGCAGGAGTGTGGGGTGTGAAATGTATCATCTCAAGCCTCTTTGTCTGGCCCTCAAAACTCTCCCCAAGCCCTCCCCTCACTAGTCCTCCAGTGTTTTTGGCTGGCTGGTATGTGTCTTTGAAGTTTGATAATCCTTCTTGTGTGTCTGAATGGAGAGGGATAGAGTATATGTGTAGATACTAGCCTCCTGCACAAAGGTAAAATTCACATTCATTGCTCTACCCATTTTCCTCTGGCTTTGACCACCACTGACATGTGGCCCCCATAATGTCGTCTGTATGGAAATGTGGCCCTTCGGTTGAAAAACGTATCCCCACCCAAGTTAATACTGGTTGGGAGAAAGGATATTTTCATTACCTTTCAGTGTGTGTTTATAGCCAAAGTTGAGATGCTAATCTGCATTAGTGAGTTTGAAACCATGGAACATAGTTTAGTAAACACAGAATGTGAGAGCATGGCTACTGCAACTCCACCTCAAGGTCACAGCTTTCTCCAGATCACCATTAATGTAGAGCAGCAATTTCACTAATGCAGGGACTGAAAAAGTGGGATGTTTACCCTTCTGCCACTCTTTAACCATTCTGATCAATCTGTGTGCAGTAATGTGGTTTTGAAAGTGGAGTTTGTTCAAGACCTGTGGTTTTCAAAATCAGGGTAGCTAGAATGTGGCAAAAGGTGATAATTCTTCATCCCTTTGATGTATGCTTAGCTACATTAGTTAATTCACAAATGAGGTATCAAATAGAAGTGACATTAGGAGTTCTGTGAGAAGATCTCCTACATATTTTGCCGTTAGGTAAAAGGAGCCATCTCCATTTCTTTTCTTTTTCCCTTCCACTATGGCAAACTCATTACATTTTCCTTTTCACAGTTGCTACCAGTGCTGTTTACTTGTTATTAGCCGTTGGAGAGCATTGGTTGCAAGATGACAACTTTATTTATTACATTAGCTCATGCTTCAGTCAGGCTAAGTCCACACCGTACATTTAAAGCACACACACCTCTGAATCTTGGGAATTATAGTTTGTTAAGGGTGCTGGGAAATGTAGCTCTGGGAGAAGTAAACTACAGTTGTCAGGATTTAGGGGTAATTTAAATGTATGATGTGTATGTAGCCTCCATTTCTTTGTAAAACAGGGCAGTTTTGTGCAACAGGACAGGGACTGTTGTTGTTTAGTCGTTTAGTCGTGTCTGACTCTTTGTGACCCCCTGGACCAGAGCACGCCAGGCACTTCTGTCCTCCACTGCCTCCCGCAGTTTGATCAAACTCATGCTGGTAGCTTCAAGAACATATTTTGCTTCAGGAAGGATAAACTCAACTGTTTACATGCAATGTATAAGACAGATTGAGATCCTACAAGTTTAGAGAAAGTCAAGATTCCTTAGTATGACATTACTTGTGCTGAAGTGGACCATACTGTGCTTGTGCTTATTTCATTTCATAAATCCGTTATACCTTTCCATTGTAGAGATCTGCCAGAGGTCATTAATTCGTTATAGTTTTTAAGGATAACGTTCATTAATTTTAAGAAGGGTATGCAACAGACAACTCACCCTTTGATTAGTCTTAATCACACTTGTTACTTTGAAAATACAGGATTCATAATGAAAGCTTGTGAACCATGTATAGTTCTGAATCAACCTAGGATGGTTCCATTTTCCTCATCTGAATTGATTGATTGCATTCCTTCCTCAGCAAAAGCAAACCAAAAACAAATAGCAGCAACAGGGGGTAGGTGTGGGTTGGTGCAATCAAGATAAGGAAAACTAGCAGAAGGGAAAAGTTACTATTACCGGTATATTACATTACATTATTTATTTATTACATTTGTCAGTAGCTTTATTCTGTGGTTCAGCTCAAGTGGCAAAATATCTTGGGCTGGCCTTGGGAGGGAGAGAGAAAGGATGCAAGAGGGGGCAGTGATGAACTTAAGTTAAGAGATAAATGCGCAGATGGGCAATTTTAAAAATGTATAGAAGTACAGAGGGATTTAAAAGCACAGGCAAGGAGAAAATAAAAGCAAAATGAGTGAAAAATAGCTTTTTTGCCCTCTTTACCTGGTAGTCCTGTCTCTGTAATAGACTTTGTTAGGAGAGAGTTTTCACCTGGGTGACATGGAAAGCATTGGGTGGGATTCAATGTGCTTGTCACAGAGCAAGGATTTATGCCTGCACAATGGAACTCCTCCCCTCCTCTTTCACACCCCCCCCCCAAGAATCAGAGGGAATTTAGATAAGTAAGCAACAATCTTCCTTGCCAGGAAGTTCACAAAACCACTCCCGGAAGAGGGGGACCTAAGCCCCACCAGAAATGCAGTGGGAGGATGGGCAGGCATGGCATGCCTCCAGCAATTCCAAAAAAAGAGGGCTTCCCAACTCCAACCTCATTTTAGTCCGTCTTATCTGCTGCATTGGAAAGCTCTTCTCATCTATTGGAGAAGCAGCTGTACTGCATGGTTGGGCTTCTGAGCTTGTGCATGTGCCATAGATGGGCAATTTAAAATGTGCATGTGCCTGTCTGCCTCCAGGTTTCATTCTGGATTGCAGGATTGCTATGGCCCAGAGGCACCCAATGAAGTGCTGATTCCAAGGAATGGTGAAATGTGGAAGGCTAATCTGGGACCGCTTGGAAGAAGGCCAAGGTGCCACAGATTGCCCACCTCTG